ATTATAGGCAATGAGGATAGGGAAAGAATTTAAAAATAGTTTTCAAAGTCAAAATACAAAATTAAACAGCTAAAGAAAATAAACATTTCTCAAGTCAATTTACCTTGTAATAGATGAACTAAATGTACAGTCTTTTATTGGCTTAAAAGAGAAAAATACTAAATATAAATTTTGCTTTATGAAATTAAAGTGTTTTGTTAAAATATAACTAGCTGTACTTATTACCTTCCCTTCCAACACTACCAAACACATACACACAGTCAGAATAAACCTTAAGAAGACAGGTGCATGCTTTCATGGTATTTTTTTTTTAAGATTTTATTTATTTGTTTGAGAAAGAGCGACAGAGCGGGAGCACGGGGGAGGAAGCAGAGGGAGAGGGAGAAACAGACACCCCCACTGAGCAAGGAGCCAGGAGGGGCTAGATCCCAGGATCAAGACCTGAGCCAAAGGCAGCAGCCTAGCCCACTGAGCCATCCAGGTGCCCCTCGCATTCATGGTATTTTGATGCAAGTCACAAATGATGCATAAGAATGGGAAAGAGTTAAAACTCCTTTCTGTACTTCGAAAAGATAAGTTGAATTACAATCAATAATTATCAACTCAGAAGAGGTCAAAGGGTGGGATCCTTTACTGAGCAATAAAATATCAAACCTTAACTGAGGACAGGATAATGACGTGTTGGAGGGCATGTTCTTTCTCTAGGGAATAAACGTTTATAGGACATCATTGCTGTTGTTGAATCTATTTGTATTATTGCAGCCATTCCTGTCATCGATTGACTTGAAGTTGTTTGGCGTGTTCCGTCATATATGAATCTATGTTCAGACTAAACAAGCACCTAGGACTATCACTGGGGCCTGATACAGTTTGAGCCAACCAAACTTCTAAATACATGTCCTTGGTTCTGATAACAGATTAATATGGTGAACTCTCAAAGTCAATTTGGGTTCCCTTTGTTTCTCTTAATGTCAATATGTCTGAACAACAGGTCTGATATAACTCAATGTAACACTCAAGGTTAACATATACAAATAAACATTTTTCAAGTCAAATTCCATAGAGAGACAACAATAAGAATACAAAAAATATTGCTATGTCAGAAAAATGGTAGCAACAATAGCAGTTTTTTACATTTGATAAATCACTTATGGATTAACAATTTCACAATTGAGTTCTTAAGTTAGAAAATGTCTCTAGTCATTATAAAAGTTTACTAATTTACAATAGAAATGTGTTCAAAAGTCAGTCAGAAGGTGGTCAAAACCAAGCCTTTACAATGGATTTAAAAATCTATCAGTACGCATGAACTTCCAACTTCTATAAAATTACTTCCCTCAGTTTTTCTAATATATCTGTTAAAATTTCATCTCGTGAAAATCCTCCAAAACTTGACTATATTATTCTGCTGGGAGTGTGGCAACTCAAGCAGCAGCTCTGACATTGAAACTGCTGTTGATGTTTTATCTTCTTTTTATCACTTACCCCAAACAGGCCTGATAGCTACTTGCCTGGAGCTAGGTCAGAACAGACAAGCCTTCTGAGCGGGCTCACTCAGGAGGTCGCCTGCCTGATCCGACCCTTTCTCTCCAGCAGTAAGTGGGTTTCCTCTGTGCCATTTCCACACTCGTAAACATTGCACTCAGTAGGATCCCCCAGGAGCAGGAAAAAAAAAAAAAAAAATCTGACTCTTGCCCCTTCTTTCTTATCTTTTTCTCCTCAGAGTGGGGGCAGGGGGAGGATGGGTTTTTAAGCTTTGAGGCTGAGAAAGGTTAGCAAGGCTTCAAAAAACTTGGTACTTTTCAATGAACAATCAAACATTCTTTTTAGAAACTGTTCTCAACATTGTTAGTGATAATGTCAATGCTAAGATCAAAATAAAAACTATTTATGGGGGAAATCACTCCAAGTCAGTGATTTCTAGACTTTTCAATTTTATGAACCTGAAAATTAATCAACAGTAAAAAACAATGGGGAAACAGACATAGAGTTGCCAACTTTTCATTTTCCCTTTCAGGAATCTTTATCTCTATCCTATCATGAAAAGACAATTTGATACTAAAGTAGTGGGAAGAATCCCTGAGCAAGATGTAGTTTCTTATCAAGCTGAATAGTTTGGCTTAATAAAATGCACACTACTTTTTGTTTTTGCCATCCAGTAATATCATCAATGACTGGCACCAACTGATATATATCCAAGCCATAAGCATATGCCCAAGGAGCAGACAGATGTTGTCTTTTTAGTTAGTGGTTTCCATTATTTTTATATTCAATATTGTATCAGTGTTTTGGGGCCTAGAAAGAATTTGATTAGGGTGTTTCATTAACATCTTGCTTCTCAGAAACAGAGACCATGAGAATTTCTGTGACTTTCCAAATCCACTTGTTCAATCCCTTCATTTTGTAGAAAAGAAATTTGAAGACCAGCAGAACCCAGTTTCTACACATCACATAACTCCCCCAGACTACAGGTGTCAGCTTCCATCTGCCTATACCCATATGGTCACTTTTCAAATTTATAGTCAATATTTGAGGGTCTGATAGATATCAGATACTTTTATGTGTTATTTCAGTTATGCTTATGGTGTACTTAACCTTTTGTTGTAGAAGTTAGTTGTCCCCATATGCAGATAAGGAGAATAAAATCAATAACTAACTCAACCTCGTACTGCTAGGAAGTGGTGAAGTGGCTATTTAGTGAGAGCTTCTCTAAGTTAAATGTTTGTATGTTTTACCATGTAATTAGAAGTTGTTTATCAAGTGGATCCATGGGCCCCGCACTCTGATTAGTGCTACCGCATGGACCAGCTAGGTTGAGGATACTAGGGTTGTCATGAAAAGAAAAAAGAAGTCCCTTGAGCTTTACCTGCTCTCTTCTATTTATTAAGAGGAGAGTGAAAAAAAAATCTATTTTAGTAAGAATAATCCAGTGCAGTACATGTCTAAGAATACTGGGCAAGTCAGATGGATGCCCCCTCCAGATCCCGGTACATTGGCTCTGAACCTCTTGATTCCAGGCAATAATGATGGCTCCTTCCCCTAAATTTTGCATCATTTCCTGTCCCTGGTTAATTCTTTTGGTACTACCTCATGATATCTACTATACTGTTGGATAAAATTATGGTTTATTTTAGGTCACCATTTATGTTTTCCATATGCTTAGACAAAGTGCCTCCCTCTCCTCACCCTAGTGCCAGTTCTGTGTGTATGTCCCATTTCCCCTTGAGGACAACGATTAAGAACCTTATTTTGTATGGCACAGGCCTTTAAAATAGAGAAATTATTTATTAATTGCTCTCGTTTTGATTGAAAGTGCCAGGAATAGGCAAATTGTACAGTAGACAATGTTTATCTCTAGCTGTATTGTCTCATCTCTTCTTTCAATACTTTTCTCCTCTTTATGTTATTCTCTTCTATGCCTACACCCCCAACCCAAAAGAAAGTAGCCCCTTAATACTTCCTAATAAATTTTGTTGCTCTTTCTAGAAAATTACTTTCCCTCTAATTAAAACTTGCAGTCTTTCTGTGTGGCCTGAGCTCAGATACATGTCACTGGTCACAGAAGTTGAGCTAATTAGCATGCAGTAATCTATTAACAGAAGCAAGCATAAGGTATAATGCAGATATTTGCAAACACAAGACTTGAATCTATTCACTCAACTTTTGTGATTAACACTTGAGTATGCATTATGGTTCTCAGTGTTTCCACTGAGGTAGGGAAACTGAAGGGACTCCATTTTAGAAAGGCTCCATCTCTGCTGTTTTTCTTCTAGGCTCCATTTACTCATGATTCATATTTTGCCTCTGAATAAGCCAAAGAAGCTATGTTCTCATTTCAGGGGGAAAGCAAGAAAGTTAATCTCTGAGTTTTGTCCTAGGCCGCAAACACTTGATAACATCTAAGAAGAGCCAGATCTCAAGCACGTTCTAGGACATTAGCTTCGAGCAAATCTCTGCTGTCACTGGCATCATTACCTTTGGTAATTTATGAAATAACACCTATTGTTCACCTGACATTCACCTTTGATCAGACCCTACCTTGGAGTCCCAAAGGAACGCAAACCCTAGACCCCTTTCCAATATAAATCCCTAACCTTAAGCAACAACTCATTCTCCTTTCCTTTTTGAGTCTCCCACACACGCCGTCTGTGCGTCTCTACCTGTCACTTAAACTATTCAGTAACTTTGTTTTCATGTTCTCTGGCTCACATTTGATTTCTACCTGCATGAAGCCAAGGAACTTCTTGGATGGTCCTATAGGACTCTCCCCTGGGTTTTCAGACTCAGCCTGCTTGCATCATCACCATTAAGTAAAGTTCATAATTCATTGTACTTATTATATAATTCATGGACCCTTGTTTTGAAACATTCTGTTTTTCAAACAAAATTCATTTTAAGCCATATTTGGTTTCCCATTTTATTGTACATACACATCTGTTAATCAAAGCTTCTGGTCATCATGAAGTAACCAGTATATAATCTTACTAAACTGGTAGAATTCTAGCCAACCGACAAGAAATTCATCTTTTAAACAGTCTGTGCAGTCTTATCATTGTAGATGGATAATTTCCTTTGACATTTTCAAATAGTGACTGTAAAACACATGGATTCTCCAATATTATCGTCACATTCCTGGTGGTCCAGCAAACCCATATTTAGAATCACTGGTGAAACACTATAAACTGAGCTTGGTGCTAAATGCTCAAAATAGGACATTAAATAAGCCAAGGGCCCTTCCTTGATATGCTCAGGGTCTACTTTCTGATATGGATAACCTTGGCTTTTGAGTGCACAACACCTGCCAGGATTTCTACCTCCCCCATGTTTATTTATTTCTTGACCACCTAGGGCTATCCTCAAGACGGAGCACTTAAGCACAGTTATCTGTTATCTTAAGCACTGTGAATAATTCAATTACTTCCTGACTAGCAGGGGGGATTGCATCTGCTCCCAGAGTGACATTAAACAAGGCAGCAGAGGGTAAGTTCAAGATCACTCACCTGAAGGGTAGACCATCCTCTGGATGTGAATCTCAGCTCTTCCACTTCTGAGTTAAGGGACTAGGGCAAGTTTCTAACCCGCTTTATGCCTCACTTTTCTTATCTGAAAAACAGAAATAACAAAAGTACTTACCTTCTAAAATTTTATGAGGATTAAATGACATCTGTAAAGCCTTTAACAAAATAATGGCATGTAGAAAGTGATGTGGGAAACAAAGGCAGAAGAAAAATTATTAAATTTCCTTACTACCTACAGCCCACTGACAAATCCTTAAAACAGGCAGAGTGACATTCCTCTAGGGACTCAACTGCCTCTAAGTCTATGTCAACACCTTGCTAAGATCAAAAGGCCCACCTAGCCCCCCCAATCCTGCAAGTCTGCTTTAACATATAAAAATTCCTTCAGAAATTATCCTTTATCTCAAAACCCCCAAGATATGTGTTGCAATCATACCCCATGCATATGACCTGCCGATACACATCTGAAGGGTCTCGTGATTAAGGTTTTATTAGATGGTAATAAATGACCTTTTCTCGACAATAGCTAAGTCCCCTCAAGATCCTGAAAACCTTGTTTCCAAAATTCCTTAGAGACTTATGCTATCCCTAAAACCCCCGCCCCAACTTGTAGGTATAAAATCACCACCCCTCACAACCCCACTGCAGCTCTTTCTGCCCACGGGTCCTGTCCCTGTGTTTTAATAAAATCACCTTTTTGCACCAAAGATGTCTCAAGAATTTTTTTTTTTTTTGGCCATTGGCTTCGAACCCTTACACTCTTTCCTATTCAGAAAGTGCTTAATAAATTTCATCTATTATTACTGTTATTATTACTATTATTAAAGGGGAAAATAAGAACAATAAAAATACTAGGATACTGAGACTTTAAAAAAAAAAAAGGATGCATCCTTATGGATCTTTAGCCAGACTTACCAGATTTGAGGTGATCATCATCATTTTGAGAGTTAACAAAGGACAGGTGGAGGTAGATGGGAAAACAAGAGCAAGGAAGGTGAAGCAACAGGACAGAAAAGTTTCAGTTATGGTCCAAAGGACTTCATGTCTCTCTTTGCTGAGTAATTTTGTATGACTACGTTTCTAATTTTAAATATCATAATACGGTTAAAATGGAATAAAAATAGACACTGCTTGTTTTAGAGAAGAAAAGTGCTGAGGAATTCTACAATGTTAAGTGGAGAGATTTGCCTTGTACATAGTTCAAATGAAAATGAAATTAATAATGAAGCTAAGTCAGACCAAGACTTCCAACTTCCAACTCTCAAAAGTTCTGTTACTAAATTTGAGTGTTGGATTAGCAAGGAGTCAAAATTTGTTCTGTAACCTTAAAATTTGAAAGCTTTATTAGTTTCCTGTTTCTGCTCTAACCAATTACCACAGTCTTAATGACTTCAACAACACGAATTTATTATCCTACAGTTCTGAGGTAGAAGTCCAAAATGGATCTCACCGGGTTGAAAATGAGGTTTTGGAAGGGCCTGGGGTAAAGTCCATTTTCTTGCCTTTTCCAGCATCTTCGAGATGGTGTGCATTCCTTGGGTAGTAGTCCCCTTCCATCTTCAAAGCCAGTAACAGCCAGTCAAGTCTCTCACATTGCATCTCTCTAACACTGACTCCTCTGCCTCCCTCTCCCATTTAAGAATTCTGTGATTATAATGGGCCCACCTGGATAATCCAGGCTAACCTTCCCCCAGATCACGGTCAGTCGATTAGCAACCATAATTCCATCTGCAACTTTATTCTTCCTTTGCCATGTAAACTAGCATATTCAGGGGTTCTAGGGATTAGGATGTCATCATTTTGAAGGGCCACTCTTCTGCCTACCACAATAGTGTACTGACTGCATTCTGCCTTAGCTCTTCATGCTTATAGAGCTCAAACGGAATAGATCCAAATTTTACATTTTCATATATAGGTAATTAATACCATTAATGGAAATTACTTCTGAAGTCCAGTTAGAAAGCAGTTCTCCTCACTTAAAATTTGGGAAAATTGATCAACATTTCTGAGCAACAATCCCCTCACTTTAAATCATAATATCTACTTCATATTGTTGTGAGAATTAAATGAATTAATTTATGTAAAGAACTTAGGATGACACAAAATGAGCAGTCCATATAATTATTATTGCATTATTATTATCATATCAGTTATTATTAGCTTTATGTTCTCTATAATCTCTTAAATTCATGTGTAGTTTTATATAGTCCTCAGTCATTATCAATTCACCCATTTATTCAGTCCATCCATTGATCCACCAGCATTTATTGAACATCTATTGCAGAATGGAGAGCATGCTACACACAATAGGAATAACAAAATCTAATTGGATAGCACTTTGCAGTTTCACCTGTTTATCTTATCTGACTCTACTTAGAAGAAATGGTTCCTGCCCTTAGTAATTTATAGTCTCTTTGAGAAAAACAACAGTTTACATACAAATCCAGCCAAATACCATAGACATGGTATTGAAGGTTTGCAACATTGACAATTCACTAAAGCCTGAGACTCATTATGAGTAGCCTGTGAAGTAGGGGGAATCACACCAGGAAATGATAGTATCCACCATCTCAGCTGAGATTGGGCTCCTCTCTCATAACAGTGAAGACTAGAACCAGCAGGTTAACTAGTCCCCAATAGTTAAAGGGAAAAAGAACAACGAATGTAGGCAAAGAGGAAAATAATCTGTGGTGTGGTTGCTGTTAATACCTCCATAAATTCCTCCATCAAACAGTTAAATCCATTCTACAAATGTCCAGGTTATGCTTCTTCCAAATAAGGGAGTGGTTGAAAAAAAATGTATTTGCACAAAATTTCTCAGTCTGTGACCTGAGAACATTTTATAAGGCAAGCACTGTGCCTCTTCCCCCAGAGTTGGTATTTTAGTATACCCACTTGCTGCTTTGTAAGTTAATCATTGATTTGATAATCATTTCACACTTTAGAGGACAGCACAGGGGGAGTTTGGGTAGTATTCTCCAAGGTAAAGAAAAGACCAGTACAAAATAGATGGAATGGGGAACCCAAAAAAGAAATAGTAAATGAGGGCACAAGACAAGAATTTATGGCTTGACTATTCCATTCCTTCCATGAATCTCTTGAATCTGGTTGCCCACCCGGAGCTTGGCTCCCAGGTAGATTTCTGGGAAGAAAAAGCCACCATTTGCTCCCTTTACCCTGGGGCCACACAGCTGCCAAGTGTCAGCTGAACAGAGGTGCATCAGAGGCCTGCAGTCAAAAGGCAGCAGGATGGCCAGTTGCCATGAATTTCTGCAGCGTGTCTGGCATCTTGGCATCTTGCTGCTCTCCCCCTCCCCCAGGTTAATTGCTGAGAATCTCTGCCTTGAATGCTGCTTACCCTACCAACTTCAGCTGCTGCCCTCCTTTCCCCATGCTGCTCTAATACCTTACCTCCTTACACCCTGGAAGGGAAATTAAGTCTGTCATATACCTGGCTGTACTTGTGAGACCACCTAGGCTCTAATGTAAATGTTTCTTCCCCCCTCACACACCCCCACGGGTAAAGGCAGAATTGCCGCGTCCCCCTTGGACCTGATTGCTAGGCAACACTCAGCCATGTGAATTTGTCACTTCTGTTTGGCGCAAATTTCAATTTCACCTCCAACTGTAACAACACTGCTTGATATATTTTAGATGCCACTGTGGTTGGATGGCATCCCAGGAAAGATGTGAAGTACTGCTGCCAGGAATGAATGATTGGCATTGGGTAAAGCAATTCTCTGAACTCAGCCTTGGCATACCATTAATTGTTAAGTCTGTTCTGCTACCACCAACCTCTTGTCAGAATCATGTCTATTGTAAGCCTTTGAGACAAGAGTCCAAATGGTAGAGCTCTCTCCCTCTGTAAGATCCGAATTATGTCGATAATGAAGCAGTGGATTTCTCGGCTCACAACATATTACTTCTTTCTACTTTCATCTACTGGCTGTACTGCCATGTGCAAAGAAAAATAGTTCTACGTATGAATATTACTGAGCTAAGAGCTACTATGTGCCAATTCAGATTCTGGCCCTGATAAGAGATTTACCTTCCCTTTGATTTCTTCATCACAATCTGCTTTCACTCGTGGTAACAATTAAATACTGCTATGAGGAGACAAGTTATTAATGGAAGAAGATAAAAATTAATGCCAAACATACTCTGCTGACAATAAATATATAATATTTGACATGCAAAATTTACATACCGACATTAAATCAGAAAACACACAACATGCAAACAATTATAATTTTTGAATAAACACGTACCATCGCTGGCAAGATATAATGCTATAATTCCCAAAGCCTCCATCTAATGTGGTCTGTCCAATGTTTCAAATACATGTTGAATATTATTTGTCCTTAAAGACACGTTCAATTGCATAGCCACCTTCATCGAATATCCTTAAATACTACACAACTGCCCAATCGCAAAGATGTGACAGTGCACGATGCTTTCATTTCTGTGCTCTGTGCTAAATAACGGTGAAAATAGTAAATCTGTTTTGATTTCCCCTTCAGCCCCTCCATCCACCAACTTTTCAGTCAATTGATTATTTTTTTTCCTCAAATCAAAACATCCTCAGAAAGCTTGGAAATATTTTCCTGGAATAAGTCTAATTAAATAGAAGGAGTCAGTCAGCTATGAGTGAGAATAATGTTTCAGACTGCGTGCATTCTCTGATTCACTGGAAACAAAAGGAGTTTCTGTAACAGTGTGAATGAACCATGAAGTGTGCATGTTCTTTTAAGAAAGGCCAAGGGTGCAGTTCTATTTTCTTAGCTCTGCTTTCATATTTATGTGTCTCATTTCCAGCTCATTGCTGATGCCTCAGTTGTGCTATCCATCACCACTTTTATCCTCCTTGTTCCTCAAAAAGAACATAAAATCCTTTTTTATGTGGTGGTAATATTATTGCAAATAAAAGCAAATACCAAAATCTTTATTAGTCTGCCAAAATAATAAACTATTTAATAAAAGCATGCTGTAAAAATAAGGTCATTTGCATCACTCAAGTTACTTGCAGGAAATACAGAGAATTATTGGTCAAAAAAGTACAAACCGACAGCAATTATTTCCGTCGTT